AGAGCCATAGAGATAATTCTAGAGTTTTTTCTTTTCCCTTCCTGGAGAAGGAAGCTGATTTTCAGAGTTTAGGAGTTTCTCTGAGGTAAACATTAACATTGTCGTAACCATGCTCTTAGTCATAATAGCTGCAGCAACTAACATTTCTTGAGAGCTTATCATGTGTCAGGCACTCTGCTAAGCTCTTTGAACGCATGACGCCATTTATTCCTCATGACAACTCTGAGATAAGTACTGTTATTATCCTCGCTTCAGAGGATGGAAAAATGGAGGCTGAGTGTGAAGAAGTAATTTTCCAAGGGCTACTCAACCAGTACGTGGCAGGGCCAGGATCCCAGGCCAGGCTGCTTTCTTTCCAAGCTCCCCCTCCTAACCAGCAGGCTGGGTCGCCACTGGACTAGCTGGTCACCAAGTTAATGTGACCAGGTTTTTACATGCCCATTGCACATCCTGCCTCTCAGAAGGCAGATTATGTCTTTAAAGTTGCCTTAGAATTCAATTGTGAGATTTCGTTCACAATTTGATGCATGGTCAGGATGACTTATGCAATTTGCTGTCAAATTAAACGGAGCCGGACAATAAATGCCCACTAGAACGCCCCCAAGCACTGCTGTTTGGGGCATACAAGTTTGGGCATTTCTGTAGGACTGTTGCTTTGAATCCCCGAGGGCAGGGGAAACCTGGACGCAGTCTCAGCTAGAAACAGATTTGTTTGCTAATGAATGTGACCATGATTGTGTGATGAGTGAGAGCTTTATTCACTCGTCCAGCCCTTGCCAACTTAAGCCCCCTTCAGTCCTGCCTTGGAGGGAAAACTAGAGGCCTGTGCCAAAAATATCCGAAAAGGTGGTTCTCTGATCTTCTCACGAACAATGTCTTGCACAATTACCCCCAGACAGCCTTAACAGTTTTACCAGTCTCATAGGCTGAGATGTGGAAGGCCAAATGTAGCCTATTTTACATTAAAGCCACTCTGAAAATATAAGATGTTTATTAGCTGAACTAAAACTGTGTTTTTTTAGTTGTTGATGAGCCATAGGCATAATGTTGTGGCTTTCTGGCCACATGAAGGCCTTTAGCTTTCACCCAAGAGGCAAAGATGACATAAACCATTGTACAAACTGGCAGGCACTACATTAAAAAAAAAATCCCTGATTTAAGACAGAGCTATGTCTGTAGCACTGCAAGCACATTACGTTTGATTAGATTCTAAGTGTCTTAGCTACAAGGGAAAGGGTTCCTATTATAGTATTAAATTAATGAAGCAGAAAACAAGTTAAACATGTAGCAGATCCCTGACACGTATGCGGGGCATAGCTCTGGACTTCTGGGAGTGCCCAAGCTGGGACTACCACCAGAACACAAACTAAGCTGTATACAGAGCCTACGATGTTATTTGTGATGTTGTAGTTCCACGTCACCAGTGAGAAACATTCTTAATTTTAGCTACAGCCAATACATTTTTAACTTCACTTTCTCTGACCTCTCATTATAAGCATTAAGTTCGGCTGACTTTTTGAGACCACTTTTGAATAGAAAACAAAGCATTTTATCACTTCATAAAAACGGCTGCATAAATGATACCAGAAGAGAGTAACGAAGCTCTCTTGGATGGAACTACTGGCTGCCAGGTAGGCTCAACTGTTTGTCTTTAAGGGGCTCAAATTCCTGTCTCAGCAAAATGAGAAAATGCTACATGTCATGGACATTCCAGCTTGCTTTTGAATAGTAGAAACCAAGAGCACCACGCCACTGAATTCCACATGTCTACTGTATGAAGTATGATTTCATCTGTGTTACAAGCTATAGACAAGATGAAAAACATACAGCACAAACATCAACAGCAGTTATCTGTGGGCACTGGAAATTAAGTAATGTTGCTCATTAGTTCAAATATATAACATTTACTTATTTTAAAGCAAATTAATGAGACCAAATGAGGTTATTTTGGTAAATGGAAAAACTGGATATGAAGAATTATGGCTAATGGTTGTCAGGTCCAGTTTATTTTTGGTTTCAGATGTATAGTAATTAAAAATACTCATTATCACAGAGTAGTTGCTAATGGTAACAGTTTTTACAGCTCACCTTGCAATCTTAGGATAACTTATTTTTTTCAGTTAAACTGACATAATTGAAGAACTTAATGATAAAGGTAAGAAGTATTTGGTAGTATAACATTTTTACAATTATTACAGTAATTTTTATAACTCAGCTTGGCTCAAATAAGTTCAAATTAGGTTAACATGTTTGAATACACTTTTTGTGAGTTATTGTTTAAAGATACTTTAAAATATATAAAATGAAATTTAATGAAGCAACTCTGTGGGACAACAGGTTCTAGGCACAGTTTGAAAACCACTAATTTAATGCAACACATAAACATCTCACCCCCATTTTATAGGTGAGAAAACTGAGGCCCAAAAGGGTCAAGTAATAAGCCCAGGGTTACCGACTTAATTATTTACTGCCCTTTTTGCTGCTCATGTCCTTCCAGTCTTGAAAGGGAGTAAACCCGGCTACCTGAATGAGATTTTGCTTGCAAATAATATATAACAGGCCAAAAACACTAGTCTAAGACATGTAAATTAAATAAATATCTCATTGGCTAGATAAAATGAATTTCTTTTGAAATTTAAAACTATGTGACTATGTGTACTAAGAATGTCTATATTTCCCTTCTGGGGATTTCTAATTTTGGACACCAAGGCATTGGTTTAGTATCATTGTGTCACTCTTGATTTTACTATTAGACAATTAAATCTGTAGTTAGAAAACAGTTCCTTGAGGGTTTGATCCTGCTGTGTCTGGTGAGAGGGCAGGCCTGTTTTATAGTCTATCTTCTTTTCTCAGCCCATCACTTCTTATTTTCTCTTGGAATTCAGAAAGGTTGCTTTGATCCCAGGTATGCAAATGAGTTCAATGAATGTCACAGCCATCCTGAAATATCTTAACCTTCGAGTAGCGTATCTATATTCCCTAAAGCAGACTCCTCTTAAACCTCTCTCAGTGCTAAATCTTAATTTTTACAGCTTTGTTTAATTCTCTGCAATAAAAAAGCAGCTTCCTGACATCTGCCTCTGATTTTTTCTTTCTCCTTTTCTTTTTTAAAATAGCCACCTGTCCCAACATTTATACATGTGCTACATTAGATGTTTTTTTAAAAAAAAACACAAAAACATAGGATGCAGAAAAAGCATAAATTTCACAGGCAAACTTCTTTCGATGGAGAAGGGTCTTTTTCTTTTTGATAATAAGAAATAGACTCCAAATATTATTCCAACAGAGAATACAGGCAAAAATCAGAAGCCTGAAAAAAACTGAGTAATTTTTTTTTCTAATTATAAACACTTTTCTTAAAATGGTTAATGTAATCCTTTTATTCCGCAACTTTCTTCTGTAGCCATCTCCTCCATGAAGTTTTTTCCCAGTGGGGAAGAGCTCCATGCAGTTGTGGGAGTGGGTCCCTCATTTCTCTTAGAAACACACACGTTTTTTATGGAAGTGTGTGTGACACTTTTACAGTCTGACTGTGGACGACCTGTCTGAATTGGGATACTATCCTTTTCATGCAATGGTCTTTCTGGTATAGATATGGATAAAGATGTATAAGAAGCAGAATAATTTTTAAATGGGGTCGAATTACATTAGTTATAATTATCTTGGCTAGAAATACTTCAGACCCTTAATATTTCCAAAATAAAGACGTCCAAGCAAAATTCTGACACCTCAGTTTTTAACATATCCAATTTTTAATACATAATTTTCTGGTGTAATATGAAGCTAAATTAAACTTCATCTAAATTATATAATTGTAAAATATCTATTCTTTCTGTTTCTTGCATAAAAACCTGTCATGCTGAGTTCACTTTTATTAGCTAGGTATATGAAACAGGCAATTTCACATCACATGTAGAATTTAGAATTCATGAATATGAGGCAGAAAGAGTACGAGTAAACTTTAAAAAGTTAACAGCAGAAAGCAAATACTAAAATTGCATGGCTTACAATTCACAGACAGAATGATTTTCATCCACATTGCTCATGTAGCATTTTAACTATTCAAAGTTTTATTTGATCATATATATTTAGTAAATTATACTTTTAAAAAATGATATTGAGGTGTTTCTCAGAAATTGAAGGACCTTGGGAAAGAATTCTTTGTCTTTTGGTCTTCGTGATTAGTTTTGTAGGAGAAGAGTTTTCTTACAATCTCTCTCATATGTTGGGGACAAGCAAGCTAAGTTAATAGAGAGATTTAACAGGAAGTGTTGCACCTACAAAGGCGACTATTACACCCATGAAAAGATCCTTGTCCTGCACTTTTAGGACTACTGCTCATCTGAGATATTTCCTTTGCTAGTCTGATTCTTGCCCTTGCAAATAATTGAGGGCCAATATGGTTTCCAAAAAGCAAACAATTGTATGCGAAAGCATCAAGTATCTCTTTCAAGCTCTTCATTAAAAAGACCTTTAAAAAACCCGACTATTGGAAATAAGTCCTGCCTTCTCTTTAACAAGGGCCGAGTTTGTTCACATGTAGAATTGTTCTAAGACTGGTTTTGATTCTAGTTAATCAGTGTGGACCACCACAGGTAACAATGGGACAGCTGTGACCCTGAAATATGGTGTGCGGTGAGCATACCACTGACCAGGTAACAGAGTTACAATGAACCGGAATCTTGAGAACACTGTGCCATCATGTTTGTTAAGGTCCATTGGCCTGGACCTTATTAAGGAGAGAAACAAGTAACCATAATGAAAAAAAATCAGACGAGAAAATAACTGAGTGTATCTCACTTGTAGTTTTACAAATGGACAATCCGTAAACCCTGGGATGGCGTCCTATAGCAGCTAGAACAAGGGGCACGGGTGCTAACAACACATGATTAGGAATGGGCACTGGACAGCAACACTTATTTATTTTTAACTTAAAACATTTTAATTTAAGAAGCTTATTTGGAATTAGTATAATAAATGAACTAGAGAATTTGACTGACCTGGCCGGACAAGGATCCAAGTTGCATTCCTGGAGTTTTGGCTTGGGTTTGATGTTCTCGGGATAATAATGGCAGTATTGATCCGCAACCACACGATTGCTCCGCAGATCGTAACACTCCGCAGACGTCAGCTGGTACCCTGAGTATCAAACCATACAGGCGAGTTGAACCACATGTGTCAAGGTAATGTGTTTCTTTATGCTTTTTGGCCATCTCACATTAAAGAAATTCTTCCTCAAGGTGCCAGTCATTTCCAGGACAAAAGACAGATAAACGGAAGGCTCATTAATATTTGCATGTCTCAAATGCTGTGTTTTTCCACTCAAATTGTAATAATTGTATCATACCACAGGGCTTGAAGCACATAAGGGCATATCTAGATTATAAGACTCTATTGCAAGAACTATTCTTATTAATTTGATCTGTATAATCTAAACGTCTAACACAGACTCTGTATATCCAAAAGAGATTATTGGTATTTATTATTTACCAGCCATCTCATACAAGGATACAAAATTGCCTCCCTTATACCTGGGGCACCAGGGAGGAAAAACACCCAAATAAATAAATCCCAACATTGTCAATGGGTGGGTTTTATTATGTCAATGGGAATATAGTGCAGGAACACGTCCTGCCAGCTCCCTGACATTGTTTTTCCCTAAATTCAACCTAAATGGGTTAAACTGAGTAAATGGATGATTAAGACTCTAACAGTAGCCATCATGAAACCAAAGTTTTCCTAAAGAACTAAAAAATAACTCCTACTGAGCAATTTTTGCTTCACCCCAAATCCTCTGTCATTTCTCTTTAAATTTCTGGGCAATATGTCTTAGTTTCCATGCACAAATTTCCACTGTTTAAAGGATCCTCTTAAAAAAAAATAGTGTTGTTGAGTAATACTTAATTCTATTTATAATGTGTTTTACCTTTGTTTTTTCCTGCCTCTTTATTGTCCTGTGGATTTCTGGTGGGGTGCTGATGAGGTCTAAGATTTTTGGGGTGAAAAATAAATGTACATAATTTTTTAAAAACTAGGTTTTTGTATCATTCTAGCCCTAACTAACTCCAAAATATATTCTCCCTGGCAGGTGGTTGCATATTGTTTTTGCTAAATATGTGTTAAAAAGTCAGATTTAGAGTGCTTAAAAATCTCGCAAAAGACTTTAGGAAATCAGACAGAGGTTTATAAACCAGATTTCCCGCCTTGAGGCTGTTTTCTCAGACCACCCACAAAAATTAATTGTTTATTAAAGACCTAAAAAGAGAACTTTTAACAGTTTTACTGTAAAGATGAAAAGCGTGAAAAATTATAGGTAAGAACACATGTTCCATTTAACTTTTTGTGTTATAGAAAATTGAAAAAGCAAAATGATATTTTATGCAAGTAAATATATCTTTATTTTCCAGTTACATTATACTCAAAAGCCAATAAGTTTATGACAAACTAATCATTTCATAACTTTCCATAAAATAATTTCTACTCAAGGAATTTATCATGTAGTAAAATATGGGCACAAGCACTAAGTAAATTATAAATCTGAGATTACGATTTTTTAAAATCATAATTTGTCAGCTTAAAATGTTGCTTTGAAGCTATTCTAGAACATGTGAAATGAAAGGTTAGAACAAAAATTAAATAAATGACCAAAATGGTCAGATAATTATGTTTTCAGATAAAGTTTCACAAGGAATTGGGAGTAGCAATTCTTTTCACTTAGCATAATGGTCAACCAATTGAATCTAGAATCAGAAACATAAAAGGGAACTTAGCGATCATTTCTTAAGTAGTTTTTAAACTGTGGTCCCTGAAGTAGGAGGAAGGTGGTTTCCATACCCCTCACATCTTCACTCTGAGCAGCACACATTCCTTTTATCTGGGCTTCCAAGAAAGGTTTCCTTTGAAGAAAGGGTTTGAGAGCTCAAAACATTTGAAAACCCCTGATGGTTCTACGTCTTCACTTAGATGTGAAGAAAATATGTCCGAAGGGGTGGGATATATATGAATCTAATATTAATTGTTTTATTATATAGCAAGGCATTGTTAAGGTTACAGAAATTATACTCTAACAGCAGCTCTATGTGAAACTGGCATATTATTGAATTGGTACTTCTCACAAAACCTGGTGTTCATCTAAAAAGAAAAGAAGAAACAAATTATTTCCTCTGATTTCTTCCTTTGAAACCACTTCCTGGGCTCGTCATTAATAGTGAGTCAAAATAACACATTCCCGTGAAACACCAACATATTGGCAGTTTATTTTTAAACAAAGTGATTTTTCTATTCAGCACAGAGCAACTGGAAACACTATTTTATTGAAATGCTTAAAAATGTTGAGTTAATAGTTATTTAATCACTAAGTAAAAGCACTTGATGTAGTTTTGACTAACTGCTTTTAAGCTAAAATCTAATATTGCTCTATAGAACCTCATTTTGAGTGGTTTGTTTACATTACGTAGACACAGATGACAGCTGAAGACGAATTATATCATATGTCCTTAACTGTTTTAGAAAAATTAATGGATAATCATTTTTCTTCATTTTGAGGTAACATCCTTCTTTTCTCCTGTCAAAATAATCTAGTGATACCTATGTGGATTAGGTACTTAAAGCCAGCCAATTAATATGCTTCCAGGGAGCTGGGGCTAGACTTTGCTTGATGTGCTCATTTTAAAAGGAACATACAGACAATTTTATATCCATTAAATTACCAAAACTTAAAAAAAAATGATAATCCACAAATACTGGCTCAGTTGGAAATGAAACTGAAATATTCATAGACTGCTTATTACCCTCTGGAAAGAATTTTGGTAATATATGCCAACAGCCACAAAAATTCTGAAACTCACTCTTGAGAATTTATTTCAAGGAAATAATTTCAAAGGAAAAAAAAACTTAGGTATTAAGTTATTCATTACATTATAATAGAGTTTAAATAAAGTAAATGATCTTCTATAAGGATATGGCTAAATAAATTATGAAATAATTCCAAGGAATTATTATGTAACCTTTAAGATTATGAAGAGCAGAAAATGGGGGGAAAAACCTTTTCCAGTAGCACAAAATGCTATCCATTTACAGAGGTGATGGAGCAGAGAGAGAAATTCATTTGGTGACTTTTCAAGAGAGATGTGTTTTAATGAATAAATAAGGCAAGTGGTATTCCTTTTATTGCACGGATGATAGGGTAGTGCTGAAAAATAACTGAGTCCAAGTCTATAGTGCAGTGGTTTTTTTCCTGGTAATACACTTCCTTTAATTATATTAAGGTCTTATTCTTTTTGGACACATCATGCTAGATAGTAGGCCTGACAAATACTCTCCACTTGATTCCTGAATAAATAAGTTCACCTTAGCCAGGTGAACGGTTTATTTTCAAATGAACAGAGTCACCTCAAGACCACACTATTGTCCAGCTATGATACTGCTTGACTTGGCCTTCCATGGAATCAACGAAAGGAATAAAGACTGTTTCCTCTAGTGGGACTCTATAGACAGACATATTTATGGAGCATCTAGACTGAGTTATCTGCCTTACAGGAGGCCTTCAGAATTTGGCCCCAGTCAATAGAAAGGATCTGATCCATCACAGAACTCAATTTCTTCCATGTGGAAGTGACTACTCTTAGAATAGTCATGTCTTCCCTCATAGAAGACAACAGTTCCTAGGCTAAGTGCATGCCGTTACCTCCTCCACAGGTTGCTGAGCAAGGAAAGAAATCCGTCTCCCTCCATCGGTGGATGATAGGCTGATAGAAGATGAACTGGACTGTACTGTTAGCAGGCCCCGAGTTGCGGATCTGTAGGAGACAACAGCAAAGTAGAGGAACTAGTGTGACAGGGAGGAGCTTCCTGGGTCCCTGGCAACGTTGGACAAGGATGTGTGATAGTACTGATGGTCTTAGGTTGTGTGAAGGACTGCTTTGGAAGAGAAGTGGCAATAACCCTATCACCCATCTTACCATTAAACCAGAGAATGGTTCTTGTACGAGTATATTCCATCACTATCATCACCTTCCCAGTTCTGTTGTCACAGAACAAGGGATAGTAATGTTTCAACTCGTGATTCCAGTTGGCTCTTACCCCAAGCCACTTAGTCCCTTACCTTCTTTTCTTTCCAACCTCTCTGATATAACAGGTAAAATTATGTGAATTTTTAAATGTAGGATCAGAAATAGAAAATTTTTTCTAAGAAATTATAAATGCCAAATGCTGCAAAATATGAAAGATACTGTCTTTGGTTAAGGAAAAGACGAGTTAAAGAATTAAGTAGCTCTTCCCATTCAGAGACATGCATGGAGTTTCCTGACAACTTGGTGATTTATATATTTTAATGTGCAAAGTTACCAATTGGAAGCTTGCGAAAATGCAAATTCCTGGGCTATTCAAATGTAGATATCCAAGAACAAAATTTTGAAAACACCAATTTACAGTATGAAAACAAATACAACAGGTAAAACATATGGAAATTACAACTCCTTTGTTTTTTAAAAGAGGGGATGTGCGGCAATAATTCTTTAATGGTTCTTAAAAGTACCAGGTTGAGAAAACATACTCAAGCTGAAAAAGAAGGAAAAAGTGCCCAATGGGAACAATGCCTTGATTTCATGAAGACAGAATGACATGCGATACAGCATTTAGACAGTTGGGCAAGGGAAAGGCTTGGAAAATTTATTATACTAAAGGGAGTTCCATGGACATCTGAGAGGACAGCCTTTTACTCCAGCTCCATTACAGGAATGATAGAAGTGTCAGTCAGCTGAAGCACGTGGCTAAATTCTTTGTTAATGTTTTCAAGCCTTATCACCTCCCAACTGCCCTTTATCTAGGATAAATTGATAGATTTGGTCTTCAGATTTTTAAAAAGATAGACATTTTTCTGCTACTGACTTTGACAGCTGGATTAAACACCTAGGATGCAGAGGATCACAATGAAGAAACGGAATAGGTCCTAACTCCTAGATTAGTGTTTGGAGTTTGGATGAGAATATAGGACTATTGCTCAGAAAATCTGGAAGAGCTGGGAAGGAGAAAGAAGAGAGAAAAGCTACAGAATATCTCATATCATGCTGGGATTCTGACCCATGGCGCATCCAGGTCTTCTCTAATTAGAATAAACAGTGATACAATTCCCTACTTTAAAGCAAAAAACAGCTGAAGCAATAGTGTCTTTTGCAAAAGGGGCATGGCCTACAGATTAATATTTTTCAGTCCTATGTGTCAGATACAGGATATCTAATTGCTTGCTTAGGGATGTGGTATTAATCACATTCTTTGGAAAGTTTTTCTTTTTCTTTTTTTTTTTTTTTAATTTTAGCTCACAAAAGCCTATAGCTCTCTTGGGATGTATAGTTACCATGCTGGAAAGCTATTAGAAGAAGGCTGTCATTTGAACACAAGCTCCATGAAAAAAATTAAAAAGGCCAGAAACTTTGTTTAGATCCAGAAAGATGAATTGCTTTGTGGGGGCCCCTTTTGGGATGGTAGACATTAAACTAAATCCTAGGAAAGGAGAAGGGGTTGAATCAAAGTGAGAAGGATATAACATCAAAATACTTGGACAAACCTTGTTCTAGAATATCTGGGTAGTGTCTGGGCTTATCTTTTGGTCTGGTTAAAGAGGCAAAAAGATGGAGCAGGTCTTTTTTTCAGCTCCCTGGATGTTACCAGTAAAAGCACCTCATGCCCTAAGAGGGAGGATGAAAGACAAGGAGATTTGGGGTGTCTGTGTGTGGGGTGGGGATGGCGGTGTGGGGAGTAGAGGGGGGTGGGAACCTTAGTAAATACCAAGTTGAAGGAAAGAAAATAAGCAGAAAGAATATTGTTTTTAATGAGTCCAATGAAAATGATGTATAATGACCATAAATGCTGAGACTGTATGTCTAGATTTGTAAAGAGATTGGAAATGAACTAGGACATAGTTATGTCAAATAGATAAAACTAATCATGATGTAGCCAAATCTCTGACCGCATACTTGTCTGGTTCCTTCACACTGATAGCATTCCTGCTTCTCCCATCTCTATCATCACCTTCTTCCTTTCCTAACAACAGCGTCAAGTATTACAGCCATCAGCACTCATTACATTCCTACTTTGTCCGGGGTGCATTTTATTTATATTAAATTTAATCTTAACACTACTCTGTATCATCTTCCACATTTGCATTATGAGAGAAATGAGGCTCAGAGAGGTTGAGTACCTTGCTCAAGGTCACACAGCTGTAACAGCACTGGGATTTGAATATAGGCGTGCCTGGCTCTAAAGCTGCCATTCTTTTTTTTTTTTTTTAAAGATTTTTATTGGCGAATTGGGAGATAGGAACAGCGCTGGGGAATTGGGGGAAGGGGAACAGACAAGTTGCTGTCCTTTTGTTCTTCAGTGTAGTTGTGGAGGACGTTGCTTCACTGGCCCAAGTTGGCACCATCATTGCGCTCTTCACGCGGGCGAGGCAGATCAGTCGCTGGCTTCTGGACGGCCGCTCACTGCTGGCTGCTGGCAACACACGGTAGCCCATGGCAACCCACTGCCACAGGGGCTGCAGCCTACGCCATCACCAGCGAATCACGGCAGCCTAAGCTGCCATTCTTTTCATGGTACCAAGAAATCTTTGTTAGTTTGTGAAGATACAGTCATTTATCTTTAACGATATCGTTTACCTCTCTCTATCTTCACAGTTTTTCATTTGGAAGTAGAAAAAAATGTTTAAAATAAAAAGAACAGGCTAGCTAACCTGACGTCTAACTTTGATGGCCTAATTGGTATTTACATAGATGAGACACTGTGTTCCTTTATTCTGGTTTGATTAATTCTGGGCTGCTAGGACCATCGTTATCATTAGCTCTGGAGCTTCACAAACCCTAAATCCTTAAACATCAGGTCCCGTTTCTCAAGAGTATGTTGAAAGCTTCTGTTTGACGCATTAGAATTTTGTTTTAGGGAGCTAAACACATCTGGCATATGTAATTTTGACCTCCTTAAGTTAATAAGGAAAAAGAATGCTCTGAACCAAGCTTGTCTTCCTATAATTACAATGGTTCAGTGTTTCTAATTCAGTATAACTTCTCGCTGGTCACCTTCCATTGCCATTGATCGCACTGTCACAAGAGAGCGACAGGGCAGTACAAATGTGTATGTGGGCGATGGTTGAGCTGTAAGTCCCTGTAAAATTCAAGGAGACAAGGAGACATTTCAAGCACATGAAAGGCATCAAGTACACAGAGTCTCTCCCAGATGAAGTACGATGAAATGCCATACCGCCGTTTGCTTCTCAGTTGGGAAATGGTAATTTGTGAGCCTTGGGGTGGTCCCCAGCTAAGTTCCCCTCTCCCTGATGATGCAGAAACTCCCCCCCCCCGAGAGGCCGGCAAAAAGGGCTGGCAGTCAGGGTACCCCCATCCACCTTGGCTGCAGTTGAGTCACTGCTCTGGCCTGAGGAGAGGAGATCAAAATGGAGCTGTGGGCAGCCCCGCTCCTGTGAGCCTCTAAGCTGGACCCACAATGGTATTCGACTTGGTCACACTGCTCAAGGTAGCCAGGGATGTCATGACCGGGGAGTGCTTGAGAATGGTGGAAATAAATCAATATGCCTGCTAGGGAGGGGATAAAATGGAAAACAGGTGGATCTATTTATTAAATGTCTCAGTCTACTATCTTCAATTTTGGGCTCTTCTGGTGGTTGATGGTGACAGTGAATCCTCAAGAAACTGTAAAAAAATACTTTAAAATGCTTTTGGGGGGCTTTCAAAATATGCAACAAGAATAAGATCTCCCTTCCAGCACTTAAATGTTTACAAATACATAATTGTGATATAATTGTTATTTGATTGCCTTTATCCTTCATAGTCTACAAACTGCATGAAGGCAGGTACAATTTATCTTGCTCAGCACTCTTTCTTCAACATCATCTATAATGTTTAGCACATCGTAGGTGTCCAAACAATTGCTGAATACATGAATGTATGAATGAACAAACAAATTATATAATGATCACGGTCCTTTAAATACTTTAGAATTGCAAGCTATTATTTGTGACAAATCCTTAGAATAATTATCATCATCTGCCAGTTTTATTGAAGATGTTATGGATCATTTCTTATTGATAAAATTGATAATGTTGATGAAATGTTGCTATAATCCATGAAAAGAAGCGGTACTGTCACAACACAACCTTACCCAGCAGTACTTCCCACCCTCCTTTGATGGTATAGTGGTATAGTGGACTGGAAAGGGCTTGTAAAAATGCTAGTTATTATTGGAATAAAACATAAATTCAATCATTCCACTGTTTCAAATACCTGACAATCTTAACAGTGCGCAATACTGACTAAGATTAGGGATTATTCAGTAAAAATAATGATAAAAAACTATTAGCACCCAGCTTAATGCTTACACTTCTTATAGAATTTTCTAGTCTTCCAAGAATTCCAGACCTCAATATTGGGAGCTACAGAAGTGCAGCCCATAGGCCCCTGACTCAGCGTTGCATGAGAGATGTTGGTTATGGCTTCACTGCCCACAGCCCTCGAGTAGGGCAGTAGATGACTCTGGGAACAACGGGTGTAAATTGGTCAAGGAACAAAGAGGTGGAAGAGATACAGCAGGAAGCAAATGCTGAGCAGCTGAGCAGACCTGCATCTACTGGAAGGATGATCTCAGTGTCAGATGCGGAAGGAGGGCAGAAAACAAATGAGCAGAGTGGAATGAGGGGTGGCTAGGATTGGGAAAGGGCCTACCACTCTCAAAGTTGGTTCTCTGATTCTGAATCTGAAACTCAGCTGTGCAACTGGTAAACAATGTGGGT